TTATTAGAACAGCATCCTTTTGTGGGTTGGCACCCTAGACCCATACAGTGAGAGGTTTTGATACATTGATTTATAGTTAGATTGCCCTCTAAAGGATTAGTTCCATTGTTGAAATGACATTCTGGTGCCTTGTAGGCGAGCTGTACCCAGTTCAGCCTGGAACTCCTAGTGGTAGAAATGGCATCGCTATGAGTTGTGGTGAAAGTCTTAGTGAGGTTTGTCAGAGGTAAAGCCAGGTGCTGGATGGGGCCAGGAAGCAAGCATAGCCAGCAATCTTTAGCCAGGTCTGGATTGGAATGATTGAGAATCCGATGGACTGTGGCTAACAGCCCATTTATTTGTGGATCCAGATCCCGAGGCTCGGCTAAAGATGGAAGTTTTATTGGCTTCCAGGTAGGTAATAACTTCTGGTGTTGCCTCTGGACTGCTTGTTGGACTGCTTGCCGGCGTGCCTGGTCCTGTACCCCTCCTCCATCACTCATCCCATAATGTGTTTGCTTGGTCCAGCACACCAGCTTGCCGGGCGTGCCATAGCATTTGATGCGAGATACATAATAAGCCTTAATTGTGCCAATCCAGTAGGATTTTCCCTGATATGTGCACTCTGAAGTGGAGTCATAGCACTGACTCGGCTGATAAGTATAAGCTGAAAATACAGGCCGGTATATGGACCACCTGTCACCCAGTTCCATGCAGGTGCACTGTACAGCCAAGGAGAGTGAGGACATTAGCATTAGTAACATCAGCCTTATGATTATCTTAGACATGATGCTGCGGTGATGGCACTAATTATAAGAAGATATAAAATAGCTATCAGGATTTTATGGCCTATGTTCCAGTCAGGTGGGGTGGCGCTAGTTAGCCCCACTGCTAGTACGCAGACTGGTATAGAAAACAAGGAAAGAGGCAAGGGAGCACAAAAGAAATATATTTAACAGCTGCGTTGGGCTTTCCTCAGGCTTCGGCCGTGCGTTGACTAGCCAGCTTCCGGGTGTGGCTAGAGCAGGGCTCGTCGATCCTTTTCTGGTCCCTCTTGATCTTGATCTTGAGCCGGTCTCCCGGGACACTCTCAATTTTCCAGGGACCCTCTGTCTGAGGTGGAGTTGCTCTCTTGACTCTGGAGTGGTGGATCCAAGGGACGATTCCTGCAACTTTAACA